AGACTACTGTTTTAATTTAGTTGAATATTGCAGATGGGATGCGGGTGGGGGTGGGGGTGGGGGTGGGGGTGGGTTGGGGGTTGGGTGTTGCTCGGATGGGATAGGGAGAAGATAAACAGTAATCTTCTTTTGTTTTTTTTAAGTTTATAATTATATAGAAATAAAAAATTATTTTTTATTATTTAAATATTTTTAATAGATATAATAATATTTAATTAGATTTATAGGATCTAATTACTTGACACATCAACAATTAACATAATTTTTGACAGAATTGTGACGCAAGAATTACATTGATTTGCAGCATTCAATTTCAGGGACTACATTGATCGATTTTCAATTTCATGGAGCATCTTAATGAGATTGGTCAATTTCAATGACTATTTGTGATAAAAAAAAAAAAATATATATATATATATATTATCGATTGAGAGGAGGAATCCAAACTTAGAAAGCTTTGAACATTAGAAAGAGAAATTAGGCCAAGAATGAGTTGGCCAAAATTCGGGCACTTGTTATGGGTACAATAACCTTGAGCATGTAAGTAAGAAAGTAAATAAGAAAGTGACTAATGACATGTTTACTTATCAAGAATGACAGAGTAACAAACTTAAAACTTAATAAAAATAGGATGGAATGAAAATCGGATCAATTACCTCATAGTAGGATCCAATTCTAATAATTACCAGAACTTAGAAATCAGTTAGAAATCGGTAGCTCCAAAGAATGTGGTAATTCACCCTTGTGGTGATGAAAATGAAAGACAATGAAGGAGATTGAACATACACGTTTTGTGTTTATATATTATTCGATTTCACCCGGCTAACTATACGTCATATGCCCGGTCAGAGCCAGACAAAACATTAATTAACTGCAGCAATGAATTTTTTGGGTGTATTTAGCTGTGCATTGGACGCAAATGACTAACAATGATATGGTCTAATATGGTCTAACTTGATGGCTTAGTTAGGAGTGCAAGGCCTAATGCAGCATGCTTACGTTATTAACGGAGAAACGTAATTATGTTTTTGATGTGTCACTCATCCAGAAAGATACACGCATAATCATATACACCTAGTAACATGCAAATCATGGTTTGTCTCCCTCTCTCTCTACATAATACATCATGTCTTTAATGTGTTAATTATTACATGAGAAGAGACTTTGGAAGTAATAGGATTTTTCTCCAGTCACTCTACGTCTACGCATGCATATTATACTTTACGTCACAGTCAATAGACTCATCAAATTAATAACGCAGAATTGCCATCAAATGCCTTCGAAAGGCAAGTGCATGTGATCGAGAAGTATATACGGATTAAGAAAGCATGCATCATCTGCATCAAACCCTAGTTACAATATTTTAATGTCCATATCATCAGTCACAAACATTGGCCGTTGTTTTCAAAGGTTTTGTGAGTTCAGTTATGTTGAAAATGATGCATACTAACACGGACAAGGATTGTCTGTTCTCTCACTTCCGATGCCCTCTTGGCTCTCGTGTCCTTCTGTTTTATGTGGTCACGGTTAAGCCACGTCAATATTTTATATTGTTTTTTTATAGAGATAATAAGACAAAAATAAATAGTAATATAAAATATTGACGTAGCTTAACCGTGACCACACAAACAAAAAGGTACGAAAGGGCACCGAAAATAGGAGGGCAGACAATCCTTGTACTAATAACACTTGGGGTTGGTTGATTAATTAGACACTGTCTGTTAGGCTTAGCTGTATTTGCAAAACTGTTCAACATGGCTCAGAAACCAAGTGTCCAAATATCCAGAAAAGCAAGGTCCTCAACATATATATATATATATATATATATATATATATATATGCGCGCGCACACATATATATATGCTGAGTGAGTGAGTGAGTGAGTGAGTGGTGCAGACATACGCTAACATCCGTCTTCTGACAGTGCAGTTGGCAGTTGGTGAAGGACTTGGATTCTCTGCCCTTCCAATTCGGTGTCCTTTCCGTGCCCTCCTGTTTGTGTGGTCACGGTTAAGCCACGTCAATATTTTATATTACTATTTTTTTTGTCTTATTATTTTTATAAAAAACAATATAAAATGTTAGCATGGATTAACCGTGACCACACAAAACAGGAGGGCACGGGAAGGACATCGAAATGGGAGGGCAGAGAATCCAAGTCCGTCGGTGAAAACCTTGGCCTCTGCCTTGTTGACCATGAAGACCAATCTAAACTTCTTCCAATCACAGAGTTCACTTACTAATAAAAGAACAGCTTCAGTTGATTTTTACTAGGGAATGAACACAAATAGGACTAAAGCTGCACTAAACGAAGAATATAAGAGCGCTAAGTCGTGAAATATACATTCGGTTTATTGTTTGTTTAGCGAATATATTGCAGATTTGTATTTAACGAAAGTTAATAACTAATTCTATTTGTGCATATTTATCTTTATACGGTCTCAGATCTTCTAAAAACACATGTAATTTCTCTTTTCTTTACAATGTTGAGTAAACCCAAATTCTTGGTTTTGCAACAATCAGTATTATTTATCTAATGCTGATAAGGTCGTTGGTGTAGATCACGGAGACGAGAAAATTGAAGGCATTAAGGTCCACACAATTTCGTCCAAAGATACGCTGTTTTCACATCGACTACTAGACAAGGTTTCTATTCTTCATGAACTTGACACCAAATCAAGGTGCAGATGCAGAATAAAGTTTCTGGAAGTAAAGGTAAAAACCCACATGACCACCTTGCGAAATGGTTGTCCCTACTGCACACCACCATATGACCACAAGGCTACCCCCATAGATTTAAAGTCACTCCCTCTCTATCTACCGTTTGGCTTGTACTAAATGATATCTATCTTTCCCATACACCTTGAGAGCAGTTCCAGCGTGGGACCTCCCAGGCAATACACTATATTATTCACCTAATAAACAGTAACTATCTTTAATGAACAGTAACTGTCTTTTACATCTCCACCGTTCCACTTCAATAGCCCTGACAATAGACAATAAAATATTAGTATTTTTTTTATAAAATAATACAAAATAATTTTATTTGTAATTTCGGATAAGATTTTTAATCATTCTCGTTGCGTCATGTGTCATTATCCGAAAAGTTATAAAATAATACAAAATAATTTTATTTGTAACTTCAACCCGTAAGCGAACTATGAGTAACTTCAACCCATCTAGTACACAACACAACATCTTCAAGAAGCGTCCAATTCGTACCTGCATCAGTAGTCATTTTGTTGAAAAAAATTGGATTGAAACTTTGAGAGAAAGATAAGAATGTGGTTGAAAGTAGTTGAGAAAATATGAAATTGTGGTGTAAGGTAGATGATAATGAGAAGGTATTTATAGAAAAGTAAAAACAATTTTTTTTTTCCGATTTTTATTCATTTTAAATTTTTTTTATTCAACTAATTAATCTCTGTCGTTGGATTTAAAAAAAAATTTGAATTCCAAAACTCTATATTGTGCCACGTGGCATAACAGTAACATTTCTTAATTTTATAACTATTTTTTCTTTTTTTATTTATTTATAAAGGAGAATAATATCAACCGTTGATCTCAGATCCAACGGTTGATATTAAATAAGAATTTTTTTTTTACTGTTACAAATCTAACGATCCACATTTTCTTGCTGTTGAGATCCAATGGACCATGGGAAGCCACGTGGCTTCCTAACGGTAACAATTTGAAATTGCGCCGCAGGCCCCATTCGCTGAAAACATGTCGGGTGACGTGCCCCGCGCGCGGGTGCAGTGCACGCGCCTGACAGAAAAAAATAAAAAAAGGGGCTGACATCAGCCTTCGAGCTTGTGGGTTGGCAATTCGTGACAAGCCTGGTGCGAGGGCTTGCCCTGTCCCTCGGGCTCCCACACGTTGGAGTCAATAGGCCAAGCTCTCGGGCCCTGTTTGCTGGCCTGTCCCCCGAGCTCCAGCCAACGCTGGAAGTGCTCTGAGAGATTCTTAGCTATAGCCTATTCGGGTTGTATATTTTATTGTGTTAACTTTCTTATTACGTAACTTGGTCACGTGTCGATGAATAAATCTGATGAACTATATGATCGATTAAAAGAAGAAGATAATAAACATGAAACATTATACATGTGCGGTTATCCCATCAATGGTTGGTCCGAATGAACGGAATTTTATTACCAAATCTAACAACAGCAAGGCACACTTGTTGGAAATGAAAACTTTCAAGCCCTAGCTATTTGCAGTCTTTGCAGGCAGTAGTACAAAAAGAGTAAGTTACCAACGGACTTGGATTGTCTGCCCTCCTAGTTGTGGTGCCCTTCCATGCCCTCCTATTTTGTACGGTCACGGTTAAGCCACGTCAATATTTTATATTTTTATTATTTTTTGTCTTATTATCTTATTAAAAAATTAATATAAAATATTGACGTGGCTTAACCGTGACCGCACAAAATAGGAGGGCATGGAAAGGCACCATAACTAAGAGGGCAGACAATCCAAGTCCGTTACCAACTACTACATGATCTGTTTTCAATAAAATTTGAGTTTGGACATGTAAACTCCATCATGCCAATAAATTGAGAGTAAATATGAGTAGCTACTAAAATTTACCATCTTCAGTATCTCTGCTTTCACAAACAGATTATTTTATTTTTTCTATGCATGACAGGAGAAAATTTTGAATAAGTCAGGGTGTTCAACCACGTAATCTGTTGGACATCTCTCACAAAGACAATATCTCATACATTACGATATCTCATACATTTAGTTCTATGTCGGACTCCACAGCAGTCCCCACCAGTATGAGAATTGCCCTATATACGTAGCCCTACCAAAATTTCTCGCATGTGAGGGGCATCTTGTTAGTAGAGAAGTTGAGCCAAGTTTACTCTCTGCCACACTTAAGGTTCACTACGGCAATTGCCAAATGGTGGAAACTTGAAAACCACGCGGTTTGAACCCTAAAAACCACTCTCAGTCCCCACAAACTGCATTGATTCTACTACAATGAGAGTCCCCAAAACCACTTAGCAGCATGCATGGTCCCAACAGCTCAAAAATTGTCAGCTGTTGTCATTTCAGGTGTGATGTTGACTGACTTCTATTTATTCTTCTTCAAAAATAATCAAACCCTCCCTCCCTGCCTCTTCATTTCCTCACCACTTCTTCATCTTATCAGCATTTCCTCACTGTAATAATTCTCTCTTTCCTCTTTCTCCTTTTCTCATAAATAGTACACTACTGTGTACCATTTACTACTAGCTATCTAGTTTTCTTCTATAAATTTAGTAATGCTAAAGAGTTCATAACTTCATACTCTCCTTGTTGTGCAGGAAAATGGCTTTTTTCGGTATTCTTGTAATTGGGTTTCTCTCACTTGTCTCTTCTGTTAATGGCTACTATGGAGGTTGGTCCAATGCTCATGCAACCTTTTATGGAGGTGGTGATGCTTCCGGCACAATGGGTATTCCTCGCTCTATGATTTTGATTTAATGAACGGAATGGTTATTAGCAGTGCAAAATATTCATCATGTACTCCTTAATTCATTCCTTACTTTTTTTTTTACAAAAGTACATGATAACAATTTCGAAGTGCTGTTATCATTTCGAAGTGCCAATAACAGCTCTGGATAATCGTTTATGTTAAAAGTGATACATTTGTTGCAAACTAGACTTTTACTTTATTCTATTTGTCCTTATTAGATTTGGGCATGCAATTTGTTTATAGGTGGGGCTTGTGGGTATGGGAACCTCTACAGCCAGGGCTATGGGACTAACACAGCAGCTCTAAGCACTGCATTGTTCAACAATGGCTTGACCTGTGGAGCATGCTATCAGATCAGGTGTGTGAATGACCCACAGTGGTGCCTCCCTGGCTCCATCATAGTTACTGCCACAAACTTTTGCCCACCAGGTGGCTGGTGCGACCCTCCCCAGCAACACTTTGATCTCTCTCAGCCTGTCTTCCTCCGCATTGCCCAATACAAAGCTGGGGTTGTCCCAGTGTCCTACAGAAGGTAAATTAAATCATTTGTCCCTAATGGGTTCTCTTATAAGGTGCTGAGTGCCAATGAGACCTAATTATGTTAAGATTTCAGAGACTTGGTCTAACACTGACATTAATTTTCCTCAACTTAACCACCTACGTAACTCAGGTTAAGGGTTTTATCACAAAGAGGTCATTATATTAGTAGTGGAACCACTATTATATACTATATTTTATTTTGTCAAGTTTCCGACGTGTTTCCAATGTGCTTTGTAGGGTTAGATGCAGGAGAAGAGGAGGCATAAGGTTCACTGTGAATGGACACTCTTACTTCAACTTAGTCCTTGTGACAAACGTCGGTGGTGCTGGAGATGTGCAATCTGTGGCCATCAAGGGCTCCAGGACTCGGTGGCAAGCAATGTCAAGAAACTGGGGCCAAAACTGGCAGAGCAATTCTTACCTCAATGGACAAAGCCTCTCTTTTATTGTGACCACCAGTGATGGCCGCAGATTGGTTTCTTACAATGTTGCCCCTCCGAATTGGTCATTTGGTCAGACATACACTGGGAGACAGTTTCTCTATTAGTTAATTATCTCTCTATGTATGGTTAAAAAAGCTTATTTTACTACTCCAGTTTGTTTAGCTGTTTGTTTAGCTGCATATGTGGTAAAAATTTAAGGGTAAAAAGATGAAAAGGGTTTGCTTATAAGGGTAAAAAAATGGAAAGGGTTGAGTGACCTCTTTCATTTTATTATAGATTTGTTAGTTTTTTCAGGTCATGGCTTGGATTATTCTGAAGCCTCATGGCCATATCTGCTAGAGAGAGAGAGAGAGAGAATCAGTTTGCAAGGCAGTTAGGTAGTGGAGATTTACCACCCGCTGTTAGTTCATGAAGTTATGAATATTGAATAGAAGAGGTGTTTCTTTTACTACGATTAGCAAATGCTGTAGCAGAAGAGGTCTTACAATCAGCTTGTGTAATGTCATTGTAATAAACTCGGGCTGCTTATTCTGCGCCTTTAATTACATTCTAAGCCGATATTAATCTAAACTACTCTAATTTATGGGATGAAACTTGAACTCAAGTGTAAGGGAGCATATGCACATATTGTTTTGACAAACTAACGTAGCCCTACAATTACGTTCGAGATTATAATTGAGTGTAAAAGATGAAGCATGCTTTGTCTAGTCCACTGTGCTGGAAGAAAAATCTTAACTTATGTCTGGTGAAAAAGAAGGAAAACCCCAAAAGAGAGTACACACATACATACATATATATATATATATATATATATATATATATTTATATATTGTCATGTATATATATCGTCCATTTTAATGCAGATAGTGAAATATTTTGGAGCTGTTTGCTCTTTTAATCATCAGAATGAAGCCAAATGTTCAACTATATTATATAAACAGCAGAAAGTACGAATGGAATAGAACATGATGTCTCCAATCTCCATTCCTCCATTTAGTAGTTGAAAATGAGTAATGTTAGAAAGACTAAATTTGGAGATAAAGTTTTGAAAACTAAAGAACATGGAAGTTGATGTTTGGTTTATTACTTAAATGTCGATAAACGTGCTTATTTCTATTTGTGACATATAATTTAGTTTGTAAATTTAGTCTTCCTAACATTACTCTTATGGGATAGAGGATTTTTAACCCAGTTAGGTAATTGAGAAGTTAAGGTTTCCACCATAAAATTAATTGACAATTTGAGAAGTAGCTCAACTACCTATAAACACATGCAAGGTCCTTTATTTCCCTGATGTGAAATTCATTCTCAACATGACCCCTCACATGTGGCGAATTTTCAAACCTAACATGTGAACAGCACAAATTGAGTGATGTGTAGCACGTGTGGCAGTTAGGCTTCACCTATGGGATAATCTGCTCTGAAATCGTGAAAAAGTTGAGATTCCACCATAAAAACAATTGACAATATAAGGAATAGCCCAACTATTTATAAATACATGCAAAATTTCTCATTTATCCGATGTAAGATTTACTCTCACCAGGTACAAGTGAGGAATGTTTTTGGTGTAACAAATATGGAAAGCAGAGGCACCGACACTATAAAATTAATGGAGCCAGTGCCCAAATAAGAGATAGGGTTAGGGTTTCCAATGATTGCTGCAACTAATCTCTATGGGACTTCTGATTACAATTTTGTTTTTTAGTCCTAAGCTAGTAGGGTTCATATCTAATCTAATACAAAAAGAGATTCTTCGCTGTCCTCTCTATATTTATCCTCACCTGATGTCTATATCTCGAGAGAAATATATCCTTGTTGTATGTTAATCTCCTAAACACGTTGTTTGATGTTAATTTTAAATAATGTATCTTTGATTGTATGCTAATAGAAATGAACCGGATTTCCTCCTAAGCTTAGGAGGCTGAGCCTCCTAAACAAATGATCCAGATCGTTGAAATTTGATTCAATGACTATAAACAGGGGATTCCTTTAAAAGTTATAATAATTGCAGCCATTTGATCAAATTTCAACGATCTGAATTATTTGCTTAGGAGGTTCGGCCTCCTAAACTCAGAAGAGGATTCTTAATAGAAATTCCCTGAATATACGATTTGATGCTTCAATTTGAGCACCTTAATTATTCACATAATTGCACTGGAAAGTTATGTCACATCAAAATCACAACCACATTGACATCTAGGCAAGCTGTACGCAGAATGCAGATGCCAAATGCGATCAAATTATCAAGTCAGGACAACCACATTTGACATACAGCTTGGTGATTTCAAATTATAAAATCCAAGGATAAACTCTTATCCCTGATTTATGGGATATAAAACTTGTTACGCGGCAGATTCTCACACAACATTAAATGCGATGAATTTAGACTTAGATCCGCGGCAACTACTTGATTTGATATTTGAGTGAATTGATGATGATTAATTTGTAGGTCTTTTGGGACTTATGGTGCGTGACAGTAAAAGGGAAGCTAATGTTTCATCAAACGATGTCACCAGCTGGTTGGTTGCATGACATGTATGGCCATCAAGATCACAAATCTGATACAGTTCAACTGTTCATCACTGCCAGCAAAATGCAACTCCCCGAAATGCTAGAATTAATTTATACGTTGTGAGCTGATTCTGACTTTTCATATTTATTAGACTCATAAAATAAGATGCGCAGCTGATCTAACACTCTCCCATTCAACATACCTAATGGCCCTTGTTTAAAGTAGAGTGGACTAATTACTGAAAATACTTGCTGGTTCGGGCTTGATCTTTGGCTCAAGTGTAGGGGTATTCTCAAGTGGTATATTTCCATATTGGTACCTCTTTTATGTCACCTAACACGTGATGAAAGAAATATTAATAAGATGATATATTATTGTTACAAGTTAGAATTGCTGCAATATAGGAGAAGTTGTCGCGTTCGCTCAGAGAACCCCATCATCCTTACACCCGTACACAAACGAAGGAGACCCCTCGTATTGCAGTATTCCATGGGCCATAAAATAACTTACAGTTGATGTGGTCTTCTTGATGAACACAAGTACACATGTAGGGGCTTAAAGCCCATAAAATGGTGTTGTACATTTACAAATCCATAGCCCAACCCAATCATGGCTGCTTGTTACCAAAATGGGTACTTTGAGGATGCATTAGGTGGTGTCGAAAATGGGAACTGAAGACATTCTTCCAAATGAATGTACTTTTGCTGCCTGTGTTCAGAAGTCAGGTTTCAAAGACATGTCAATGTTGGGAATGCTTTGATCAATATGTATTCCAAGTGTGGCAACATTCACGCAGCAAATGAATTGTTCTTGGATGTGACATATCGAGACTCTGTTACTTGGAATGCAATGATATCTGGATATTCCCATCGCGTGCTTGGCAAGGAAGAGCTAAATGTGTTTCAAACTTTCAAGACATGTTGCAAGCTGGAGACTGTCCCAACAAAATTACTTTTGTCGGGGGACGTTCTCTCTGCTTGTGCTCATTTGGGTTTGTGCAGGAAGGATTCCACTATTTGATCCAGTGAATGAAACAAATTGGCATTGCACCTGGACTAGAGCACCATACTTGTATCGTGGGACTCCTCAGCAGGGCTGGCCAACTTGATCATGCTGAGAATTATATGAGGACCATGCCAGTCAAGTGACTGTTGCTTGGAGAACTTCGCTCAACGCTTGTAATGTACATAAGAATTATGGTTTGGGAACGCAAGTAGCAGAGGTCGTCGTGCAAATGAGTTTCTACCTTTCAGGTGAAGACATCCGGCAGAAGGCTTTGTTGAGTCACATGATTATGCTAATTAAAGTGTAAAGGCAAAGTCAAGTAAAGTGTAAAGGCAGATTAAGAATATATGGATTGGGGCTAATTTTTCTTCACTCTACAGCTGTGTATCAGAATTGGAGCTCAGGTTCTTCATTTTATTTAATCGTCTGTCAAATTCCGTTGCAGACTTTCGTCTATTCACAAAAGATCAAAGTTTCTTGTATAGTATCTGTTACAAGTCATATAAATTTCTCTTTGATTCTTAATACGATATGATCTACATTAACGTTTCTCATCTTGTAATACAGTCTGTGCATGAAGTTCGTTTAATTTGTCATTAGTAATAATTTTACTAAGACGTCGTAAACGACAGAACAGAAATGCATGAAATCTTAACTTGACTGTAACTTATTAGCCAAAGAAAGAAGAAACATTGATTCAGCAAAAGCTGGCCTCCATGACTTTTACAAACTCATTGAACTCTATTCTTCCATCTCCGTTTTTGTCAAAGCTTCTGATCATTTTCTGGCAGTCTTCTAGCTTTGATCCTTCCTTTAACCCCAATATGCAGAGAACTCGCTGCAAGTCCCTTGCATCGATAAACCCATCTTTGTTCTCATCAAACACGTTAAAAGCTTCTTTCACTTCCCCCAAACTCGGCTCCTTCTCATCAAACAGCCCTGTAAGCTCATCGGAACTGAATGTCTCCGGCAGTTGCTCACCTTCTGGACCGCAAAAAATTCCCAAGTCTCCCATCACCTTCTGCACATCTTCTCTTCTCAAACTCCCATCATCTCTCTTCTCGCAGACCAGCTGCGGGCGCCTTGACTCAGAATCCAAGTTCTTCTCTTCCAAAAGCTTTGAGTTACAACAATTCTCTTGGGATTGGAAGAAAGCAGACTGAAACCTTGAAAAACCCTTCTGAACTCTACTTGACCAGTTAGAAATCGTGTGCAATAAGATTTCATCGATCAAAACAAAGAACGGTAATGTGTTAGGATTAGTCAACGACGATGTCTTCTCCATTGTGAAAGAGTGGTATAGGCTGAAACGCTTGGATGTGGATATCAACAAAAGGAAAAACCAAGTTAGAAATCTCTAAGTGTGAGAAAGCTAATATATATATATATATATATATATAGAGAGAGAGAGAGAGAGAGAGAGAGAGAGAGAGAGAGAGAGAGAGAGAGAGAGAGAGAAGAGTAGGGTATTGTTTTACATTAAGTTTTTGGTTTATGGGAGAGAGAGAAGAGGAGGGAGGTGTTTTATAGAGACCAAGGATTGAGTCCTTGTGTTTGAAGCCACCAAATCCAAGTAGTCAAGCCCGGAAATACAAGGGAAGTTGCTTGTGAGTTGCTGATGCAGGTCTTTGGGAAGAAATGGTGGAAAGTTGAAGAAGTTGAAGGAGAAATGGTTACCAAAGAAATTAGACATTTGGTAGAAAGCATGTTGTGGAGAAGTTTGTTTGTTTTCTGTCGGAGGGAGTTGAAGCGGGTCCGGCTGGACTGCACTTGTTTTGGCTTTGTCCAATTTGGGGGTGTACGTGGAGATTTTGTGTTGGGGAATCAGACGGCTGTTTGACTAGTAAATCCCTAGGAATTAGAAAATGGAAAAAAAAAATCTCTAAATGTGGATAGTATGGTTTGATTTTGGGCGGCTCTTGGTTCACACTTTTTGCAATTCAATTTCCATGCACTGATTTTTTTAAGAAAATTACTTGTTTATTTCCTTGAAAGCAACCATCTATGCTTACCTGCTAACTACAGTGTGAAAACATTTCTGAAAATGAGTTATTTCTACATATGTGTGGGCCTGTGATTTGATAGAATGAGCATACTTACCTATTAATTATAATCTATAAATTTTTCTTTTGTGTTTTTTATGAGTTATTTGTGCATGTGTGTTAATTCACTCTTTTTATCCAAAATGGACGTTGATATTGTCATAATTCCTTATTTTGATCCCTGAGGTTTAAAATCGATAGAAGTGGTCCTTGAGACTATCGATCATCAATCATTTTGGTTATTCTGTGAGAAATCTCCGTTAAATTAGGGGTATTTTTGTCAATTCAACACCTCTCCTTGAACCGGTGTTTTTTTTTTCAATTAATGGAGATTTTTCTCATTATGATCAAAATGATTGATGGTGGACAATCTTAGAGACCATTTTTATCGATTTTAAATTACAGGAATCAAAGAGAGAAGTTATGACAATCTTAGGGACCATTTTAGGTAAAGAAAATAATACCCGTACACCACTTTTCTCTACTGCAATTTTAAAGAAGTATGTAGTGTTATTTTTTTTTTACTGCCTGCAATTTGCAAAAAAAAAAAAAAACCCCCCGCGTGCCTCTTTTTTCCGCCTTATTTATTTAGTCAAAATTGATTCTCCTTTTTCGTATTATTGTTCGTTAAAGTAAATTGTACTGGGAGTTTTTCGTCAAAGTTCTCTACATTTAGGAAGAATAATGAAAAATGTTTGAAAACTTTGAGTTTTAACGATAAAGATAAAATAAAGAGTAAAGTGAATAGTACAATGATTGATTTTTTAGTGTAAAAATGTAATTTTTTTTTAAATAAACAGTACCAAGAACTTTACGTTAAAATTCCCTTTACATTTCCCATCAATCTCACTATCTCTATCTACCTGCAAAAGCAAATATTATATACAGGAAATTCCAAGTTAACTTTATTTGTTGGTAAAAGTTGTGGAAATTGCGATTTGAGTCGTAGAGTGTGGCCTTGGAATTTTGAAGTTTCTTAGGCTTTTCCACGTTGATATTTGGTCGTTGCACATTCCACACACGTTTGATTTTCTGACGTGCGAGAAGGGTCCAGTAGCTTTTACGTTCAGTCAGGTTCAGGCCTCTTCTTTTGATTCGATCCTACTGCCAATTTCTCAAAGCTCATATAGACATCCACCACTATAAGTCAAATAATTGTTTGATTTTGGGATGGGTACGGGCCGGGCTGGGCCAGAATTGAAGGAACCGGACCAAATCCGTTTGTAAATAACACAGGATGGGACGGTGTGGGTTTTAGATTTTTCAAAACGAGATCCGGACCTAACCCGACTCTTTTGAAACGGGCCGGTTCCCACGGTTCCTACGGTAGCATGGTACAGACATCAAAACCTTCTCCTCCTTCTCTCTCCCTCTAGAACACACTTTCTCTCTCTAAATCTCCCTCATTTCCGATGGAAGACGACGACGAATTCGGAGATCTCTACACCGACGTTCTTCGACCCTTCGAATCGTCCGAACCATTGTCATCATCTGCGCCGCAGCCTCACCAATCCTCCGCCGCGCCCCAATCTTTCCACTGTCTGATCGATCCCAAGGTCCTCGACGAAGAGGAAAAGATCCATTTTGTAGCTCCGCACTCTAATCCTTCTGTTTCTCACCCGCCCAATTCCCAAACCCTAGCTCCCGCCGCTTCTGTTCCAACCGCTCCAGTTAGTGGTTCTAAGGTTTTGGAGGCTAAAGATGTCGAATTGCCGAAAGCCAATTCCGTGGATTTGAATATTGGTGGTAAAGATTTGGATTTGACGGACAATGATGTGAATTTCGACATCGAGGAAGCTAACAATGGAGCTGTGAACTCAGAGAGGCGCGCTCCACCCCGTTTTGAATTTACAATATATGTACCTGCCCGGTACCCCCCTGAATTTCAATTACCCGCCCCGACCAGCGGGTCCAGAACCTGTTTACCCAGCCCTAATTTGATTGGCACGACGAGGTTTATTCAAGTGATATTCTAATAGTATAAAGTAGGGGAGAGGTTTGAATTTGGAATTATAAAGCGGATATTATAGGCGGAGCTACTAAGAGATTATAATGGTCCCTAGTCCATCCTGCCTTTTTTTTCTCGCTACTCTAACAAATCTTGTTGTTGCATATCAATTTGATACTCTTAAAATTTTAAGTACGTTCTCAATCCAAACTCTTTTTCGTTCTAGGCTAGGCCTCATTTTTCTCTCCATACCTCTTATTGCAGTGTAGACTTCACTTCTATCAACTTTTTTTTAGCTTTAACTTATATTTTACAAATTTTCTTGCTTACTCTTTACCTCATATTCAAGTTTCTGTGTTTATACATTGTTTTTAGTTCTCTCTATTGAACTTAGGGATTTTCAATTTTTATGCAAATTACTTCAATCTCTCATATTTTGAGCTCAAATTACCTATGTATGTGAGAGCCATAGATAAAATTCTATCTCTGCCACTGACGGACACACTACTTTAATCAACTTAGTTTCATTCTAATTTGATGCAAGATAAGAGTTGGTAGCTTGCAACCATGTGAGCTCAATGCTACAATTATGCTATGAGCATTTTAGTGGTGGGATTTGATTTTAACAATTGTTCAAATCTTTTAATTTTAATCTTAACTATTCATTTTTCGTATCATTCAATATTACGTAATATTGAAGAAGAAAAAATCTCATAAATATTATCAATAGTAGTGGTGTTTCTAGGTATTAAAATCGTGAAAACTTTATTCGATCAAAGGGAGCAAGATTATATTATAATCCATATTTATATATAACCAAGTAAAAGTCAAATCTAACGTTGAGACAGGGCCGTGCACTCTTTAGCTTATATTTTTTTTTAAGAGTCGAAGTAAATGCCAATGTCAAATTTCCTCGTTTTTTGCCCTATTTCAGCAAAAGGTCAACCATACTTATAGAAAAACGTTACGAGGAACTTTTTTTTTTTTTTAATTATATTTTGTAAACTACATGACTTTTTTTTATATATTGTGCATAGAGAGAAATGTTACGAAGAATTTTCTTTTAGACTTTATTTTGCAAACTACATAACATTTTTTTTATATATTTGTGCATCAAATGTAATGAGGCATCACTACGTTATGACTTATTAGTGAGTTTGTAGGTAAAATTGTTGTATTCAGTGTATTATTTATAACGTAATGATACCTCATTAACGTAGTGACGAGACCTTCAATTTTGGGTCTAAATTTTAACAAACTTTCCTATCGAGATTTAAATCCTAATGTTTTTAAGATATACACTATCACCAAGCTATTAAACCGATTAAGCCTAACATTTTCAACCAAAAAAAGAAAGATATACAAATAGCAAACAAAGAGCATTGTTATGATGTTCAGTGAAAAAAAAAAGTAACAAGAACTCAAATTTAGAGAGAGAATTACACGTTGGTTGACAAAAAATCCCGAACTAATGAAATGATTCATATTTCACCATGAGTTAAACTAGAAAAAATGAAAACCAACTGACATGACTTTATTTTTCTTGCCACAAAAGTTTGATCATCTTAGTTGAGATGAGGAGGAGGGGTAAAGATATACCCTGTTCTCGGGTTCACATTCGGTTCTGGATCTGCATAATCCATCATTGTGATCATCTTCCTCGATTTTCCATGATTTTCCTGAGAAACAAACAGAAAATTTATTAACCACTCATCCTCCAAAATAAAGTAAAAAGTACCCAACAAAAGTGAAGGGACAAAGACTCTTACCCTTGAGACTAGAACTGAAGAATCTTCACCGTGCTCAGCAGTCTCCACCAGCTTTCTCCCGAATCCTATAGAAAAACAAAACCAAATTCACAATTGGTCTTTCGGGAATCGAAAAAAATACTAGGAAATGATTTCCGCACACTTTCTTCTACTTCTGCATGCCTCGGTATTAGAAAATGATTGTGCGAAAGTCACTTTCCAAAATATGAAGTTCTCCAATGAAACAGTAGAAACGTTACAGTGTGTGTTACGTACCGTGAGAGAAACAGAGAGCGAGAAGGCAAGAAACAATGAGAAATCTCAGAAACCAATGACGACCCATTTTTTCCTGCAGAATTCTGGGAATTGGGTAGCTCTCGGAATTCTGAATACGATTTGGGATTTGATGAGATTTGAGGAAGAAATGGGAAAAGCCTGGAGCTTTAAAGTTTCCAGGAAACCGACTTATGAGCTTTCAGATCTGATCAAAAAGAGAGTTAAATTTGGGGTGTAAATTATATGTTGGAAAATATATGTATAGGGAGATTATTGGCTGGGGATAAAGGTGTGAAGAGGTCGATTCTTTCAAGAAACCTATTTATACTCAACCACCTGAGGACTGAGGAGATCAGAAATTATGTAATAATACCCGAAATTAAAAGAGTAATGTAGAGAAGATAGT